AATTTTCTAGATTTTTTCAAAAACAAAGAAATATTTTAGTTATACCTTGTGATAACTTTGGGCTTCCCATTTGCCTATGAATTTTCTTTCAAAATCACTTTTAAAATCCTTCAAACCCCAAAACCAATGCATTACCTAAAATTTAACCCTATTACCCAAAAGAAATGGCTCTTGAATTTTTTATTTGCCTATGCATTTCTCTCTAATTGTTCACCTTGTTTACTATCTCTGATTGCCCTCTTTTTATATAAAAAAATGTCCTAGCTTGATTATATTTTGATATGTATCAAGTTCTTCAAGAAAAGCCTATCTCATTACCAAATTGGGACTGAGTTTTATTTGCCAAAAAATTTTTTGTTTAATTTCAAAAATAATATGAATTATCACTTAGGATCATGATCCAATTTCATCTTCATCACCAACCAATCTTCTTGTAATCAAATTTCAACCATTTATGACTTTTTCTCTTTTTTTTTTCAATTTTTTTATAAAAATAATTAGATAATTAACATGATAAATATAACTAAATAAACTCCAAAGATAAAAACAAAAAAAAATTATACAGATAACAAAAAAATAAAAATAAAGAATAAAAAATAAAAATAAAAATGATAAATAAATAAATAAATAAATAAAATCGAATGATTAAATTAAATCAAAAGATAAACAACAATAAAAATAAATAAATATATAAAACAAAAAAAATATGTAGATAAAATTCAAAATAACAAATAAAGTAAAAAAAAATGAACTATACAAAATTCTACAACTGAGCATGAATCAGGTTCGAGCCTGATTGGTTCAGACCCTTTGGACCTAAGATTGAATCGGGCCTAATTGACTTAAACCCTAAACTAAATGAAAGATCTACAGTGGCTTAAGAGTGCACTTCTTTTTCGTCACTTTCTTACTGCTTCTAAACAAGATCATTTTGATTTATTTCTTTCACTTCTCGGATCTTTATGTCGATCTCTTTTGTCTTTTCTAGCTCTTCTTCCCTAACTAAACTATTAATCTACTTCCCAGTCTTACCTCTTATTATTGTGATGTAACATTGTTACACTATAGACTGGTCTCTTTTGACCTTTCTAACCTCATTTGGTGTTGAAAATTTGATCTTTCAGTGAGAAGCTGAGATAATTAGCTGCTTAACAGACTGACTAGGTTAGCCTAGTATCATGTTGAAGGCTAAAGGCACATATATTACCACAAACTCAATAATTGAGGTGATGCTCTTTGGTTCACTGCCTAATGTGATTGACAACTATATTGATCATTTTACCAGCACCTGTTCATTCTCAAAGCCAATTAACGTGGTAGTGAATGGCTTCAACATCTTTTCTCTGATTCTCATTTTCAACATTGTGGTGTAGTACAAGACATCAGTCAAGCTCCCATTGTCAAACAAAATCCTTTTTACCACATAATTATATAAAATAATGGTGATTATAATAGCGTCATTATATGAGAATTGGATTCCTTCCATGTCTTTCGATGTGATAGAGATCATTTCATCTTTTTAACTTTTCTCTTTCTTGGTCGAGGACCTTATGACCATGATAATTCCCTGGTCAAACTTTCTATTGGTCAACGTGGAACTTCTCTTGTTGATTATATTAATTATGCTTGTAATAGGCCTGTTATCTACTACTTAGCCTATTTTTTTTACTCATTTCTTCGATTTCCATCCTCATTCCATCCTATCTGTCCCTATGATTCCTCATTGGCTCTTCTCTGTTATCCCTTTTCTATAGTTTATCTACCTTGGCCTTGTCTTCGTTGATCCATAAATCTTTCTAACCGACCTTTCCTAATCAAACTTTCTATCTCATTCTTCAGGTTGACATGGTCCCCTATGTTGTAATCGATGTTTTGATGAAAGGTGCACCTTTTGGTTAGGTCCCTCATTGTGTTTTGCCTCAACCGTTTCGATCATCTAAGCTCTAGGTCTCTTTCTATTTATATCAAAATCATCTCTCATGAGGTATTTAGTACAATGTATTCCTTTCTTTACTCGGGCTCTTAATTTTATGTCATATCTCTCTTGGAGGAGCATTGTAGAATTTCTTACCTTTTTTTCTGCCAAAGAGGGGATATAAGCTTTTCTTACCTAGGTTATCGAAGAAAAAGGATGAGCCTCTTTTACTTTAGCTGTTTTTCATAATAGATTTAGCATTTATGTATTTTTTGGCCACAAGTAAAACATCAACTAACGTCTTTGGTGGCTCTAGAGATAAGGTAAGCTTCAGGTTGTACTTTCTGTCACTGAATCCACTAATTAAAGTGGCTACAATGGTTGTTTGCTCTAAATCTTTCACTTATAGAGCTTATGCATTAAAAAGAGTAACGTGGTATTTTAAAAACTCATTTATGCCTTGATAGATTGACATCAGGCTTAAGGTAGTTTTCTTAGTTCTTCTATTGCAACGAAATGAAAGAGAAAAGAGTGGTCGATTAAATGTAGTGATCCATTTCGATTTAAGGCTATAATACCAAGATCGAGCTACCCCTTAAAGGGTTATAGCTAATCCTTTACAAATTAGGGCCTCTTTTGCACCCTACATCATCATGTTAGTTTTATAAAGTTTTAAATGATTAAAGGGATCAAAGGTACCATCGTAGGTCTCCAAAATTAGCATTTTAAATCTTTTTGGGGGCATAGTCCTGTCAATCTCCTGAGTAAAAGGCAAGATTTCTAGGAATTTCAGCTCGTCCTAAAAAATGATAGCTTTTCCTTTCTACTCCTTTTCCATAGCTGCATTTTAGCCTCTAAATCTCTGTTCAGCTTAGGTTTTTGCTCAATCTATTTGGATATTTGTTGTGGTTGCATAGGTGGAGTTGTGGCTGGGATAATGGTAATAAATGGCTAGAGTACCATGTTCCTTTTTCCTAGAAACTGAATAAGCATTGACTTTCTTATAACTTGGTTATCTTTTTGCTGGTTGTCTACCAAGGGTGACTAAGTCAGGTACTTTTAAAGCTTAGGGTCATGTTATACTTTGGACCATTTGTTTTAGGACTTAGATTTGTTCGATCAAGGTTTGGAATTGCTTTATGGTTAATCTTGCTTGTGTGAATGCAAGTTTGTCCATAGGTTGGTTATTATGGGTTTCTGTCCTAGTTGGGACAATTGGTTCTTCTTCCTTGTTGGCTCTCTTTCTTGGTGGCATAATGTTTAGCTTGACTAAGAAATATACCTCTTATTTGACGCGTCAAATATTGGCGCTAGGGGTGTAAATTATACATTAGTACTCGCAAGCTACTTAGGTTCGATTCGAATAAAACTCGAATTCGGTTCAATTATTATCAAGTCGAGCTTAAGCTCGAGTAGTTCGACTTATCGATCGAGCCGAGTTCGAGTATTCTTATACTCAGCTCGAGTAGCTCGTGAGCCTAATCGAGCTTTTATATTTAATTTTTTTTATTACTTTTAATTAATAAAATATCTCAAATTCGAGCTCGAACTGGAGCACAAATAATCGAGCTCTTGTTGAGTATAAGAATCGAGCTTATTTTTACATATTTTTGAGCTTAATCAAGCAAGTTCGAGTAGTTCGAATTCGATCACAAATCGAGCTCGAGTTAGGAAAATGAAACTCGATCGAGTTCAAGTCAAGTATCGAGCCGCGAGTTGGGAGTCGAGCTCGAGCTTCTCACTGTATTGACTCGACTCGGCTTGATTACACCTTTAGTTGGCGTCGAGCTCCGAGTGAGAGTCAAGTCTCTGAAATGATAAGAAGAAAAAAGAGCGGTTAAGAGCCAATGTAGGGAGGTGTTTCTTGTATTTGAGCTCCGATGCTCAAGTTAGAGGTCGGCTAGAGGAAGTCAGAAAAAGAAGAAAATAAAAAAATAAAGAAAAAAGTTAGATTTGATAGATAGTACCTATATGACTTTATTTATAGGCGAAAGGTGAGGGGTCTATGAGGTAAGATAGTAATATAATCGAGTTGATATGGCATTTTACATGTTAGGTTGACCTAAAAGTCAATAATACTCTTATCTATCTACTGAGAGTCTTTATTGAGAGAAAAAATCAATTTACCTTATAAACCTAAAAATACCCTTAACAATGAGGTTTGAATAAGATTTCGAATCAAAAAGTAAAAAACGAAATCGAAATATATATTTTTATTAGTTTATATATATTTTAATTTTTTATAAAATAAAATATTATTTTACATCTAAATCTATTTAAATATATTAAAATTATATTAAAATAATATAAAAAATTTTAAAATCTAATAAATTGAATTTATAAACTTTGATTTAGATCAATTTCAAAAAATATTTGATTTAGATTTGAATTGACTTTAAAAAAAATTATAATATTATTTATTAACTGAAATAACCGAATAAAACTAAATTAAACGGTTATCACCTCTAGAATTATTTTTTACTCAAAATTTATGTATTCTTTCACATTGGGAAATGTTTAGGTTAACAAAAAACAACTCCTATATCCTTACCTACCAAATTAAGTTTCAAATTTTAGTTTAACATCGTAAAATCTATCATTTTTTCCATTCAATATCCAAAAATCTTTAAAAGTAAATTATTATTAAATTATAATAAATTATATAATATGATATATCAATTTAAAAGAAATTTAATATAATAAATAAATTATAAATATATTAATTAATTAAATTAAATATAAATATAATATTAATTAATATATTTATAATTTAAATATCATATTAAAAATTTTAAATCCAATATAACATAATCCATCCGACGGTGAAATATTTTTAAAAAAAACCTGAACCGACTCAATAAAAAAAAAAAAGTCAATTTAGTAATTTCAAGAGAATTCCATGAAAGCCGAAAACCTGATCTCCCTCCCCCGCCGCCCCGTTCTCCGATCCGTCCTTCGCCGGCTAACAAAACAAATATTTTTTTAAAATAAAACTTAAAAAATACATTTCTTATTTCACACTTCAAATCCTTTCTTTTTTTGCCCTCTTTACATATAAACACAATCAAACATAATATACATATATATATATATATATTCTATCTCTCTAGAAGGCAGTGAGCTAACTAGAGAGAAACAGAGGAGATTAAAATGCGAGAATGGGTCAGTACAGGCAACAGTACCACTACTGTAATGGAACGACGACAGAGCACGTGGCCATTGGGTTTCGAGGAGGTGGAGGTACCGGGAACAAGGCGGCTCGATGGCGCCGATCGGGACGCGTCGACAAGAGCTGCCGGATCTCCATCGGCTCTCTCATTGTTATTCTCTCTCTTGTGCTTGTTGTGACTGTTTTCGTTCACTATTACATCTCTGCTGATAATAATGGTAATAGTAAAGGTCAGTTTTAGAATTTTTTTTCCTTTCGAGTAATTTGTTGTTTGTTTCTTAGGAAAAATGCGTGAAAGTGAAATTTGAGATTTCAGTTGCTACTGCTTATCTGCACATTTTTATAGATTAATTACTTACTTATGGATCAATGCCAGTTGTTTATAGTCGGGATTCGTTTGGATTCAGAGAAATGGGGATAAAAGAGAGAAGGAAATTTGAATGAGTTCAATGTTATCTTTTGGTAGTTTCCAGTTGATATAAGATCATTTTAATCAAATATTAGTTTAGATTCGAAAACCTGATTATTTTGTCGCGAAACTAGATTAAAAGTATGGGTGTTATGGAACTTGCTTTGTTTAGATATTGTGATTTTATCATGCGATTCTTTTTTGGTGCAACTTTGTCATGTCATTTGATGAATATGAATTTGATTTCTTTCGGATAAATGAGTGGAATAACTTTCCTTTTAGGGCTTAAGTTTGACTTTTTTTTTTCTATGAGTTAATTGTGATTGAATGAAGGTTTTGATTAATTATAAGTTTCCAAGTATAAAGATCATATGATCTGTTGCTGGGGCGAATTTATTAACCAGATGTACATTCATGCAGAATTAATTAGTTATCATTCCGAGGATGATGATTTGAAGCTTGATTCTGATTTCCTCACTAATGTGACACGAATGGACAATTTTAAAATCCTTAATTTTGGCAATGGTTCTGTAGCACATGGCCGTGATTCACGATATTGGGATAGGGATGATAGGAGAAGGGATGATGATTACAATGAGGATGTGGTGGACCACAATATGATGGATTCTAGAGATGAGTCACTTGATGGTGACCATATTCCCATGAAAATGAGGAATGAGAAGGAGGCTTCTCTTGATTCTAATAGGGATTTGGATAGTAGGGGTGTTGGGTTGTACAATGAAGCTGGGCACAATGAGTTAAAATTGTATGAAGCTGAATATGAGGCATCTCTGAAGAATGGGGGCAAATCACGAAAGGAACTTGGAAATAGCCATCAGCTCTCTGACAGTAAGGACTTTGGAGTGCATGATGAGGTTGATGAGGCTGATGATCACTTTAATGATGGCATTGATTCTAGTGATAGTCGGATGGAAGATTATGATGATTTTGGAAATAACAAGGAGTATATTTTAGATGAAGCAAAATCTCAAGATGAAAATATTAATGAGTCCTCTACTTTCTCTAATGCTACAACTAGCAATCAACATGTTGTCAAAGAGGTTAGGGAAAAATCCACTTTATCAATGGAGGCTTCTCAAGATTTTGATGATGTTGGTGTTAATTCTCATCATGTTGGTTCCCTTGGTCGTAAATCTGGAAAAAGCTCACGGGCAGATTCAAAAAGAAAACCAAGGCGCCGCAAATTTTCTGGTAATTCTACTGTTTAATTATGTAAATGTCAGATGTCATTAGACATATGTGGGCATGGATATATTTGTCTGTCTATGCACATTATATTCACCATGATTTCAAGGTAACAAACAGTGCTTAGATCTCTAGACTCTGGTATTCTGATTTAAATTACATTATGTTTTTTTTTCTTCCCTGATGGGTTAGAAGTAAGTTTATGGTTTAATATGGAAAGAACTAGGATAATTTCAAGATAACATAGAATTGTCTGGGTTATGGTTATGCATACTTGGACGTACATAGACTTGATTGTCTATGTACGTTATATTCTGCATGATTTGAAGATAACAAACAGTGGTTAGATCTTCAGACTCTGGTATCCTGATTTAAATTACATTGTATTTTATTTCTTCCCTGGTGGGTTAGAAGTAAGTTTATGGTTTGATATGAAAAGAACTAGGGATGATTAGGATTGGGAGAATCTTGAGTCAGGATTCGTTTGGGGCTTGTATGCAAATCCTGTTTGCTTAAAAGGAATTAGAAGGAAAGAATGTTAATATTATATCAAAGAGCTATAAAAACTAGAGATGGAAGATTAAGAACAAAAATTCTTGATGGCTTTATGCTGAACAAATTTCTGAGCTTTAAATTCCTGATAATGTGTCACCTATCCAAAGAACAGCAAACTTTGTCATAGTTGTGGTCCAGTACACTTTCAGAACTGTTAATTCTCAATGTTACAATAAATCTTTGTCTTAGAAAGCACTCAAATCAAACTACGAAAGGAAATTTTAAAACTTAATCTCAAAGTGGTCTAGGAGAAGGCTAACATGTATGTTATACATTTGATGCTAGAGAAGAACTTTAAGGTTGCAGTGACATGGCATGGTAACTGGTCTCTTTCATTTTTACAAATAAAAAAGGAAAATTTACAAGCCTTAAAAGTTTTACCTGATGAATTACATGGAATGTGTGAATATATTATATAGAGAGCTATGAGAGAGAGAGAGAAAGAGAGAGAGATGGAAGATTAAATACGTAAATTATCCACACTGTTATGCCAAATAAACTATAAGGAGCTTTAAGTTCTCAATAACATGCCAACTATCTGAAGAAGAGGAAACCTTGGAAAAGTTGTGTCAAGGTAAACTTTGAGAACTTTTTAATTCTCAATGGTAAAGAAATATCAAATCTTTGCCTCAGAAAGCACCAAATCAGAAAAAAAAAATAAAAAAGATCGTTCTTCAAAAGGCAATCTAAGTATCTAATTCAGTTTTCACCCGTAGAGTATCATGGACAGTATATGTGACAGTAAAGCTTGGAATTTAAAGTTGCAATGACATGGAACAATAGCCAGGTCTCTTTAATATTTTAAAAGTAAGGAGAAAACAGTGTAAGAGCCTACTTAGAAGTTTTACCCAATGTGGACATCCTTTTTTTCTGCGTTTCTTTTAATATTTCCTTATATTCTGAGTGCCATAACAAAAGCTATTTTAAGACTTTATTCAAGGATTTCAGTCAATGATGTGCCTTTAATGAGCCTTGGTTGTGCTCTGTTTATTATTTGAAGTTTGAACTTCTAGCAAACACCAAACAGTGCAAAGGAAACCTACCTTGAGGTTGCATTGTACTCACCTCCTGCTGGTTTAATTAAGGAGTATAATGCCTTTAATAACCTCTGTTTCCATAAATAACTTCAAGCCTCTATTCTATTAACTACCTTTCTAACATTGGATCTAATATCATGTGTTAAGACATTAAAATACCCATTATACTTCATTGAAATTAATTTAGCTTAATTTGATGCTTTTTACTTTTACAAATATTCATCTTGTTGAAATGCTTTCATTTGGGAAATATTGCTTCCATATCAATTATTTTTTTCTTATTAATAATTACATATTGCAAAACTGGTACTGTTAGTTCCTTCTAGTAAATACCCTTTTTCAGAGTACTATTTCTTTCCCTGGTTGTCCTAAAGGATATGGATTGAGTCAAGTGATGGATAATCTTATAATAGCATACTGTAACAATAAATTTGCTTGACCAAGCATGCTGAAAGTGGCTGGATTCCATGCAGTTAAATTCTTTTATCAATTCTTGTACACGATTAAAGGTCCTCTTTCTTTAAAAAAGACAAAAAAGAAGGCCTTCATGAAATTTCTAGTTCTATGTTTTCTCATTGTTTCTTTATCTGTTAAATACTGTGTATTCTTTATATTTACTTCTTCTTGACTAACATTTTACTTTAAATCTTAGGCTCTTGTGAGATGAAGTTAATAAATTCAACACACATTGTGGAGCCTTTAGAAAGTCGAAAGTTTGCACGGTTTTCCTTGCAGTATATGCAAATGGAGGAGAAGCCTGAAAGAGAAAAACAATGGATACCTAGATTCGCTGGGCATCAGAGTTTACAAGAACGTGAGGAATCTTTTTTGGCACATGACCAAAAGATAAATTGTGGGTTTGTTAAAGGTCCACAAGGATATCCAAGTACTGGCTTTGATCTGGCAGAAGATGATGTGAATTATATCAGCAGGTGCCACATTGCTGTCATATCTTGCATTTTTGGAAATTCAGATCGCTTGAGGACACCTGCTGGCAAAAAGGTATTTTCTGAGTAAACAACAGTCTCATTATCCTTTTGTGATTGATTTTGAATTTTAAAAGGTATGCATGTCTGTTTTTAGAAGTAGATGTGCATTTGTATCTTCTGTTATTTTCTTTATTTGTTTCTTTGTTTCTTCTTTTTATGCCTTTCTATGTGCATATAGAGATTGGACTTTAGTACTGTTTGTGATGAATGCATTTTGTCACAGTGACTTTGTAATAACCTGACGTGCATTTTAGCTTTGCATCCTTAATTAATAAGAACCTTTATGTTATCTCTTGAGAACTTGGTCATTCACACACGTGTATCTAGCCGTATAGGAGGAGAAATAAGTTCCTATCCTATTCTTTTGGTGTCAATGATTATAGTTGTGCACAAGATATGTTGAGGTCTGCATTAGATTTGTGATTTTATTGTAGAATTAGCAAGTTTCGTATTTTCCCTTTTCTATGGCTCTTTCTAGGTTTCTTGAATGTAGGAGGCTGCATCAATTCAGAGACAAAAAATGCTGTTAGATAATGAACATTTGAAGGAAAGGAAAAAAAAACAAAAAAAGAGATTTTGCAGAAGCCTAAAGAAAGTGAAGCTGTTTCTATGGATTCTCTCCACTCCGACAGATTAATAACTTTGTCCAAAATTTTCTGAGCTACGCAGAGATGCCTTCCAAAGAAACATTGTATTTGTAGCAATAAGTTGAGTTGAAGGCAAGGATTGTGTTCTGTGCCCACCAGCCTTTCAAATGCCCATCCTCGATCCAAGCCCTGACTTGGACTCTTCCTCCATCCTTGCCTATCAGCGGAGTTACCTTTTCCACCAACCTTCACTTTGCAGGGATTACTAAAGTTCCCATCTGCCAAGCGAAATCTTGTAATTCAAATTGTTTTCAAATAAGCATATTGGAATTTTTATTCTTAAAACCATTAAAGTTATCCCCATCTGCATGTTGAACAAAGAGACTGTGATGTCGATGGTGACATAAGTATGTTCTGGAGTTAAGAAATTGGAGAAAAAAAGAGAAAACAATGTCATAGCTTGACAAACAAAAAGAAGAGAAGGAGAAAAATGAAGAGGAAGAGAATGTGATTGGTGCCTGAGTTCCTTGGCGTGCTATTGATTGGAGGAGAGCTACCTCTAGTGGTGTATTTAATGAGGAAAAGCAAGACCTGAAAGCAGGGGTGGCTGATATTGCCATAGTGGACAAGATTTCATACCCTATGAACAACTTTGTATGGTTATTAGGGCATACAAGTACTTATATGCTAAATAATGATATTTTGATGAACTTTCCTGGGGTATGTCTAGGACAGCTTAAAACCACTTTTGCCTTGACTCTGTGTAAGGACATTATTATAAAACCTTAATAATTACTTTGCTATACTCCATAACCAAAAAGCCTGCTCCTATTGGGTTAATTGGGACAGAATCTAAGTGGGAGGAAGGAACAGCCACTTCTATTGGTCATCATTTAAATTTTTAGACCTCTCTGCATAGTTTCATTCATACATATTTACTATTGTACATTCTTTAAGGGTTTACCATGCACGCAATTTTGTGTTTTGATATGTATCGTTGAATTACTTGAGAAAAAAGTGATTTGGATTATTTTCTCCTGATTTTAGGTTACTCGTTTGTCAAGGAAAAATGTCTGCTTTGTTATGTTTGTGGATGAAGTCACGATGCAAACGCTTTATTCAGAAGGCCAATCACCTGATGGTGGTTTTATTGGTTTATGGAAGATAGTGGTTGTAAAGAATCTTCCATATGCTGATATGCGCAGAGTGGGCAAAATACCAAAATTGTTACCGCATCGACTATTTCCTTCTGCGAGGTTCGAACTGGATATTTGGAAATTTCTATTTTGTAAAGCATCCCCTAATTTTGTATATGTTTCAGATTTTGTATTACTTAGTTTAGTATTTTCTTGTTCTATTTGAGGATAGATGCGGTGTTGTGGTGAAATGTTATTAGGTTACAATAGTCCATCCCTGACTGACAGTTCTGTTAGCTTTTTATTCAGCATTTTGTGACTGTTTTCATGAGTGAATTTTTATTTTAAGAGTAGAAAGATTTTTTATTATGAATATCTGTTTGGATAGCAAACGGGCTTGACATTTCTTTCTTAACTCTTCTGGTCTCAGGTACTCGATCTGGTTAGATAGCAAACTACGTCTACAGCGTGACCCTTTACAGCTTCTAGAGTACTTCTTGTGGCGAAAGGGTCATGAGTATGCTATTTCTAATCACTATGACCGTCATTGTGTCTGGGAAGAGGTTGCACAAAATAAGAAGCTGAACAAGTATAATCATACAGTCATCGATGAGCAATTTGATTTCTATCAGGCTGATGGGCTGAAAAGATTCAACTCTTCAGATCCTAACAAGCTACTTCCTAGCAGTAAGATGTGCCCTGTTAGATGTTTGGACTCGCATATACATGAATATACATCTGAGGGTTTTATTTATGGCGGTTTGAGCTTAGTATATTGTTTGAAATGCTTGCTATTGTATGTGTGTGTGTGCAGATGTGCCTGAAGGTTCGTTTATTGTTAGAGCACACACCCCATTGTCAAATTTGTTCTCATGTCTTTGGTTCAATGAGGTTGAGCGGTTTACTCCCCGTGATCAGCTAAGTTTTGCATTTACATATCAGAAATTGAGAAGAATGAATCCTGACAAACCATTTTATCTGAACATGTTCAAGGTTAAGCACTCTGGCAAGAAGTGGCTGCAGATTTTAAAATTGAACTACTATTAATCTAGATTTTCATATTCTCCCTCCTGATTCTTTCATTGCAGGATTGTGAGAGGAGAGCCATAGCTAAGTTGTTTCGACATAGGTTAGAGGAGAAGCGAAATGGTCAGCAACAGGCAACGTTGTAGAATGTATGTTGTATTATCGACATTTCCTGTTGAATATCAAAATTTTTTGTACACTTTCCTTGACCCTTCTGGTTCAGTTCCTTGTAACGAATGTAACAGTGCTACAAGTTGCAGCAGTGCTGGTTTTTGCCATAGAATGATGAATTTTGCAACTTGTAACGAGGATATCTGGAGTGGATATGATGTTTCTTGTGCGCGATATGTTGGGCATGGCGCCGTATGCTCAGGCAGTCCCTTCAATTTTAATTTGGTAGATTCTGTCAATTAGAAAATTCAATTCTGCTTCATTATTCTTTGTTCACATTCATTATTCCGTACGTAACAAGCAACGGTACCATTGTACTTTTTACACCAAAATTTGTTGTATTATTATTATTATTATTATTATTATTATTATTATTATCATTTTTTGAACGTTCCCAATCGGCTATTAAAGTTTGTTAATTTTGATGGGGGTTTGCAGGCTTGAATGATAATTGGCCTGTGAGTTGCGATGCAGTTTTAAGATTTGGTTTGGTAGGAAAAATGAAAAGAAGTGATGATGAAAAATTTATTAATTTAATAATTAAAATTGATAATTTTTTTTTAATTTATAGTTTAACTATTAGATTGATAAATTTTTTATTCTCGTATTTTTTTCATATTTTCATTTAAGCAAAGTCTTAAATGTGAGAAACGTGCTTTCATGAATTACAGAGTTTGGGAAGAATTCTTTCTACGATGAATCCTAATTTATATAGGATTTTGTTGCCTAGCATTTTAAGAGAATTTTAAAGAAAAGTTCATTATTCAATTGGTATTTGAAATTTGATAAGATGTATTAAAAAATATATACAATTGGCATTTTAAAATTTTAAATTATGTAGTATGTTAATTTAAATTCGAACATCACTAATTCAAATGATTTATATTTGTTAAGTACGGTTGATATTATCATATTTAGAATTGACATAAAATTATTAATATTTTTTTCGATGATGATGTACATGTGGCATCAATGTAAATTTTTACAAAATATTTATTTTTATTAAATATGAAACTTATACAATTAATAGGGTATACTATTTAAAAATTTAAAATATAAATTATATATTTTTAGATATCAATTTGTATATTTTTTGTTGCTATAATTTACTCTATGATCGTTGCATTAATTAATAGGTTTTCTCAATATATTAGAATTCATCACATAAACATTACCTTTAATTTTTAATATCTTAAGTAATCTTAATTAATGGGTACTCTGTAGGATACTCGGTCACTAATGAGTATGCAAGGTCTGCCATTGTCTTTTAGTGATTTAAATAGTAAGGTTTTGCTATCAAATTCCCTTAGAACACTCTTTTAAGATTACTAGATAAAGTAATTAGTTTTAAATCCACGCAACAAGGAAAATTTTTTTTATATTATTGATTTATTATATATATTTATCTAAACTAAAGATGATAAGATTATAAACCATGTTTAATGTATTAAGAAAGAAGTGAAATAAATATTAATAAAATTATTCATTATTTCAAATTCCATTCATTTGTATTTTTAATAAATTATCCAACAACCTTTATTGAGTATTTAGTAAAGGTTATCATTTAAATTTTTAATTGATTTAATAATGAATATTTATGTACAAATGGCGGAAATATTTATTCGGAGAAAGAAAAGATAAGTACGCTTTTACATAAGCATTGAAAACATTAAAGCCCTATTTGGAATTGACTGGACCTTCAGTAAGGTACAGTCAGTCACTTTTTTGTCCAATCACAATTGGGTCGTGCATGGATAGCATGATTTACGATTTGTTTGGGTCATTGGCCAGCAACAAAACATTAGTTGGGGACTATGACTTTAAGGTTCTTATTTGGATTTAACTAAATCTCTAGTGTGTTGCATTTTCTTCAATTTTTTCCTTTCAATCTCATTGTGATTCATATTTAGATAATATCAATGATGGTGAGTTTGCTAGCTTGAGTTGCACTGATACACCAATTGAAGACTGGAACTTTGGGAGTTCAATGGATAATTAGTACCCCAACAAATCTTTTTTATCTTTATTTTTGTTTTTTTGCATTCTTATCATGCTCTTAAATGAGTTTTTATTTATAAAGAAAAAAAACTCAAAATAAGATTTTTTTTAGTTATTTTTCTCTCTTCCCGTTTTCTATCACCATCCCAAATTATTAGCCCTAAATTACCTCCTATTCTATATTGCCACCCCTTGCTCCCGTCATCTATTCCATTTCTTACCTCTTGTAACTTTTATTAAAGCTGTCGTTGGTTTCAAATTGTTTGACGAACGGGGTTGTAAGCATTGAAAGATATGATTCTTTTATTTTTTTACCTAAAATCAAGATTGCTTGGATTTTTCTGTTTTATTCTGTTAATGGGAAAGAGTTCTATACTCTTTAAGAAATAGGAATATTTAGTCTAAAAGTTTTTTCCTAAACAAGGATAATTTAAAATCTTTTTTACCAAAATAAGGTGCTTTTAAACTTATTTTCTTTAGTAAGACATTTTAAGCTGAGTAAATCCTAATCAGAGAGAAAAAAAAGTATAACTATGTATATCTCTTTGGTTTTTTTGTTGCTCTCGACCATTTTTATTATCTGTTTATTCCAATTAGGTTTTGTTTGTTCACAAAATGCCACTGTCCACTATTTTTGCATTTAAATATTTTATCATCTATATTTTGTAGCAGCATATGCGAAAGATGAAACGTTAAGATTTTTCATGAATAAATTTAATTTAATTATTTTACTTATTTTTTTATATGAGCAAGATCAGATTGTAACTCAATTAAAATCTGAAATTTTATAGGACTTAAAATGTTTCAAAATCAAATTAGTATTGTTAACAATTAAAACCAAAATTTTATTCATTAGGAGATTATAACACATGGAATATAGTATATATTCTTAGTCCCATCCTAATCATCAAACCAAGAAACAACCTGATTTCGAAAAGCCAAACCAGAATAAAATAGAACACAAATAACCATCCCCTACAACATATAAAGAACAAAATGGAATGCAGAATTGGCCTTAACCATCAGCCAAAAGAATACACCTTACCATCAAGCGATAAAATTTTCAACTTTGTAAACTACTACTTTAGCTAAAGAATTAGCCTAACTATTAACCTCTCTAAAAATATTAAAAATCCTAACTTCACAGATTGAATGTAAATAATCAATTTGATTCACGAAGGGCCATAGTTTCTTAGGTCTAGATTCCATCTTGCAACACCATTTAAGAGCCACCAAAGAATTAGACTCAATAATCAAGTGGGAACCAACATACCTTTCGAACTTAGTAAAAACTTTTAAACTAAAATACTAAGCCTACACCTCTTAATAAATTTATGTAGGTAAAATGGCAATTTCATTTAAGAAGAAAAACAAGCTTCAAATGAGTAGTAGTTAGTTGTCTCTTTTTGAATTTTGGCAAAAAAAATGTTTTGGTAGAGATTTTGGATTTTTTTTTTTACAAGAAAGAGATAGAAGAGGAGAATTAAAGATAATAATTAGAACATGAATGTAAAAATCAGAAATTCAAAATGCTAACAGTGAAATATAGTAATACAAATTAGATGTCATGTAGACAATGACATGGTATTGATGTGGCTAAAATACCCTATTTATGAAATAAAGATTAAAAGTATCATTATCAAAAAATAGAGATTTTGATAAACTTTAAGTTAGGAAATAACTCTTTAGTTTAATGAGGTTTTAGTTCATTAATCCCTATCCAGAGATTTCCTGTCTTATGTATTTGTTCTATAGTTTTGATGCGAATAAATTTGGTTGTATATGATTGGATCCCTTTAGAAGTATTTATTTCATACAAGAAAAAGAAAAATGGAGAAAGCCTACCATTTTAGACCTAATGAGTACTTTGCCTTTGAATATCTGAAATGATCTCTTAAATCTTAATTGCTGTTTCAAAATAAATTAAACATATGAGAATATACATTTCCCTTCATAACAATCAGAAAACTAAACATTTGCTATACTAATCTTGTGTTGTTAATTATTCTCATTTTTTTGTCTAAAGATAGTAATGTATTTTTTTGATTTTCAAATTGTTTTATTGACTGGATAAGGTGAACCTATTTGCTTTTGGTTTATTGAACTGCTTAGAAGAATAATACTTATTATTATTTTTTTAAATCTATAGAGAAAGAAATATTGAATATCAAACAGAGCAAAAGCTATAGTTATGATGTTATTTTCTATTTTGTTTCAATTTCCAATAACTTTTTTCCTTATACTGATGGTTAAACCTAGATTGGTATCATTAGAGTGGTAGAGTCTCATTCTTTTGAATAGCTTTCTGCTCCTGAAAATAAAACATTAAGCTAGAGAAGAGAGTGTTAATTATAAACATTTAATTGCTAAAAATATTACCCTTACATAAGAGCAAGCTTTTAAAGTTTTGATTGCTTTTTTTTTTAGTAATTAGTCTTTTATGTCAAAAGTCCCAAACTGCTAAAAGAAATTATAATTTACCTATAGTCTGGACGTTTTAAGCTATTCCATTAGAATTTGCTCTTACAAGAGTTAAATGTTAGTTTAAGGGCTCTGAGCACAGCTTTTCAAATTACAACTTTGGCTAGTTTATGATGAAGTAATATCCCACAAATAGGATATTATTTCTCCATGTGTTTTTAGGATATTGTTTCTTTAGTACTTATAGGGAGACTAGAAATTTGGAGACATTAACCATGTTCCATCATTGAAGCACAATCTAACATAAAGATAGGCCAATTTATTTTCTCTATCATGTTTCACAATTTAAAGTTCTCCTTGTGTTGCCTTGGTTTCTATGAATGCATTAAAAAGAGTGTTTTCTTTACTTGATGAATATAAACCACTTTTTTTTTTATATGTTAGTTCTGTCTTTCTTTGTTGAACTTGATATTAGTTAATTTCCTACTAATATGTTATGTTTGAAATAATTTGACGAATAATATATTAAATTTGAAATAATAATAGATGATGAAGACAAGAAATATTGTTGAGGGTGATACTATCTTAGCAACCAAAGCTACCTAGAATGATGAGCTCACAATGATTTTTATGAACTTTGCGTGAATGAAGTAAATGTCAGTAATAGATCAACAACTCATTTGAATTCCAAATGGTGGGAAAGTGTTATTTCCCATTTTAGATCTAGGACACAAAAAAGTTATGAAAAATCTTAATTGAAAAATAAGTGGGACACATTAAAACAAGAGTAAAGATTGTGGACTAAGTTACTTAGGAATTCTATAAGTTTAGGGTGGTGTCCTTTTAAGAAGACAATTGATGCAACTGAGGAATGATGGGTGAAAAAGTATAGGTTAGTGCTATTTATATCA